CACACACACACACACACACACACACACACACACACACACAAAACAATAAAAGAACACTATTATGGTTGCAAAGTCAAGCCCTCAAAAATTAGGAAATGCCAGAACTAAGTGCCAGAAATGAGATTTGGGAAAGAGGAAAAGTGAAACAATAACATTACAACAAACCCACAAATATCGGAGGTTTGGATGTATGGGTTTTGTTTTTTGTTTATGCTTGAAATTCAAATGTTTAACTAGTTACTAAAACATAATATAAGGACAATGTCACAACTCACTCTTCAATTTGAGTTCAGGAACCATTGCACACATTGTGTGCTGTCTTATCTTTGAGCAGGTACCCCCTATCTTAATGCTGAACATTTCTTAGGCTCTGATCCTACAATAAGGTCCACACAAGCAGACCCTGGAACCTGCTTGGAGCTCATTGCAGAGGCAAGTTCTTATTCTGTACATGCACATCCCTTCATTCCTTTGCCCTGCCTCTATACCATGAGTGGGGAAAATGGGGTAAAACAACAACAACATGTCTTTAAAAATCAATTTAATTTAATCTATGACCACAAACACTACAATGCCTTAGTCATAACTGTATGGTTACTGAATGGCACCATTACAGGTCAAGAATTAATATTGTTTGAGTGCTTAAATTGTACATTTTCACACCTTAATAGGTTTGAATTGCTTTGAAACTCTTGAGTTTCCCTGAGTTTATAATTAGACATGGGCAAAATCAGCAGACTATAGGAGTTGTCCTCTGGCATTGAACATCTTCAACAGGAAAGGCTGATAGAGACCCACCTTAAGTAACCAATACCATATCTGGTGAATAACCTAACCCTTGAACTACAGGTTATTGGGGGGGAGGAATGTGTACCAACATCACCAGCTGTCCTTCTCCCAAGCCCCAATTTTGTGAATCTAGCCCTTAAAATGCCCAGAAAAAAACCCTTCACATCATGAAACATTTTGGTGAACTTGAAACAGACATTTTCCAGTAGTCAAACTTCCAAAAAAATTTGGAGTTTTACCTGAACTGAAGGGTTGGAGCTTTTTTGTTTTTGTTTTTTTAATTATTGCAAACTGTCAGCAAACCAACCAACCAAACAAAAAATCAGTTATTCTCCCAGCTCTATTTATAATGATAGGTTTTGGGATCATTGAAACACCCCTGTAATGTTTTTTACACTTAAAGTTTTCACATGGTTTCTATCTTAACTGAGTTTTTTGTCTAGGCACTGCACACGCACACACACATGCACGCATCCTGCTACCTCCTATGGGGTAAGTGAGTTTTTAAACTTATTTTAAAATTTGGGGCTGTTCCATAATAGTTTGCAGAGATTAGTGTACATGGAGCTTTTTTTAAATTTAAATTATTGAAAGATGCTCCAAGATGTATTAAACATGTTCTCTAGGAACCCATAGCTGTGTTTAAGCCTTTAAACAAGGTCCACTTCAGCCTAAATCTCCAGCTCGAAAATATCTGAGGGTTTTTTTTGTTTGTTTCTGCTCTGGATAGCAAATTCTTTGATGCAGGGAACTATGGGTGCAGGGGATGCTGCAGCACCCCCTGACTTGAAGTGGTTTCCATTATATACAGGATTTACAGTTTGGTTTAATGGCTCCCAGCACCCCCACTATATAAAATCTTGGCCCTCAGTGGAAATTTTTGCCATTGACTTCAATTGAGCCAGGACTGACTCCAAATCTCTACTTTTGTACAATATTGATTACCATGTCATTGCTCAAACAAGCACAACAATATTTTAAAGGTAAACACAGAGGAAACACAAAGCCAGTATTTGCAGCATTTATAAATATTAGAATGGCTAAACTCTGGCTTTACTTAGCATCAAGTGATGCTGGAACGTTTGCATTCCAACAAGCTGGGGAAAAATCACCCTTGCATAGATGAAAAAACAAACTGACTCATTCTTCTAGAGCCACCTAGTGGCAAAACATTAACAAATATTTCTATGACTATATATTATTAATCATTAATTGTAGCCGAGCACAACTGCTTATCATGTATTGACATTACTGTGACAGAATGTACTCATGTCCACACTCTGCATGCTACTGTAATAGTCTTTGCACAAAGTATGCCTTGGGAGATATCATTTAAAAATTCATTTGCTGATCAATAATACCATGGCAAAATTCACATAGCAGCGTTATGTGTGAAGTTATAAACATAAGCTGAGATCATAATTAAAAGTATGTTTTCCAGAAAAGTCTGGGGAGTGGCCAAACCAGTTCCTCAGAGTGCCTCAGCTAGGTGTAAACAAGGTCAGTAGGTCATTACCCGCTAAGTGGCCATTCTTTGGCAGGAAAGGGAGGGGGGGGTGGAAATCTACATCTTAGCAAAGAAACAGTATGGAGTTCCCTTCCACACAGACTGCCTGTCGCCATGTTCCCAGCTGGGACTGCTCATCGAAGAGGGGACAGGATTATAAAAAGAAGGGGCAGACACCCCATGGCACCCCACCTCCTTCCTCTTATTGTGTCCATTGATTCACTACATGAGAAGGGAAAAGAAAGCACCAATAACACAGAAGAAGGGGTCCTGGCCTAAGAAGTTTGGTCAGTAAGACTGCTGAGAACATGTGGTGAGAACAACTTTGCTCTGAATATAACAGTTAAATTTAACAAGCACCAGTTGTATTTTATGTTTATTTTTCTTGTAACCATGTCTGATTTTTATGCCTCAATACTTGTATTCACTTAAAATCTCTAATTTTTTAGTTTATAAACTTGTTTTATTGTTTTAATCTAATCCAGTGTGTTTAAATTGAAGAATCTGGGAAACTCCATTTGGGGTAACAAAGTGTGTGCATATTATTTCTATTAAAGAAATAGACTTTTTATGACTTTGTTTTGTCCAGGAGAGGGCTGGGCAGCACAGGACATACATTTCTGGGTGGAAATATAGGAGAGGGTGTGTGTTCCAGGAGTCACCCTGGAATACAAATCAAGGTGTGGTTGGCAGGCTGCAGCACACACCCAGACATAGCTGGGAGTGACTTGATGTTGCTGTTTGTGAGCAGTCCAGATTATCTGGAGGCTACATCAACAAAGCAGTGTAAAGGGCACCCCAGGTACTCATTAGTCTGGATTGTACCCTGCTATGTCACAATTACATCACTGCCTTTTATTAGACAAACACCTCTCAGGAGTGGTCTAGATAATACTTAGTCCTGCCATGAGTGCAGGGGACTGGACTAGCAGATCTCTAGAGGTCCTTCCCATCCTATGATTAGCTATTGATTGAGGAGATTCCTGTAATCCTGCCATATTAAAATACTAAAGACAATGTGATGTGTCTTAAGCGCATTGAAAAATAAATAATTTTAAAAACTGCAATATTATGACCTCAACTAATGTTACAGTTTACAAAAGGGAAAAAAAAAAGGTTGACAGCTTCCATTATTTTATAATCATTTCCCAATTCTGCTTAACTGGATACTCAGATAGCAATTGCTTAAAAACAAAGATTTTAAATTATTAGGGTCTGAAAGTCCTTCTTTGAAGTAATTCAAGTGGAATTTTTATTTTTGTTTGTTCAGTAGTGTTTTTCTTTACACTATTAACATGTTAGTACTAAAATGCATAAAGTTATTGGGATTATTTTCCTTTAAATGCACCCTAAAACCTACTAAAATAATGTTATTCCTTCATCTTAGAAATATTTCTATTTCATATTTGCTCTTCATAAATTATTGCACTGTGACATCATGGAATAGCTCTTAGGACCTGATAACAAGGGTTGCCAGTTAACATTGACTGGATTTTGACTTTTACTTAATCACCAAAAATATGTTCAAGCACTAAAGAAAGATCACTATGTCATGTCTCATTGCTCAATTGGGGTTCAGATAAAAACACAGGATTATAGGATTTATTTTTTAAACCTTGGAGCAGGCTTCCCCCATTTCAGTAGTGAACATTACTTAGGCCCTGATCATGTCCCAGCACCCACATAGAGCTCATTGAAAAAGCAGAACCCTTATAAATTGCATTTCGTGTTTTTCTTTCAAAGAAGCATTGAACCCAACAAGTACATTAAATGAAACTGAGAAACTGTAATTAGATTATACTTTATGGGGAAAAAACAATCAATCATGAAAAACTTGTCAGATAGTACGTTCTTGTGATTAGGCTACACAAGCCCCTATGAAGTCACTCATCGCCACCTCTGAATGGAGACTTTTGCCTCTCCCCTACCACCCACTGCCCCTTTTAGTAGCAAAGACAATACCTATCAGGGTCAGTACATGGAATCCAGTTCACCTGTGGATCTGGGATGTCCTCAAGGTAGGGGTAAATGGTTTCTCTTGTGAAAACCCAGCCATAAATACCATCTTCAGGAGTCACAATAATACGTGCACCCTGGCAAAACAGACTAAATTAAATAAGTCTCCACCTAAATAAATACATCTCAGTACAGAATAGCCAATGATAGTACCTGCAGGGCTGCTGCTTTGATGGCCCCTTTCAACACATCCATATTTTTGTTCATCAGCATCAAAGCATCTTCAGGAGAAACAGGTATTTTGGTGTCCTCTGACAATATAACTGAGTGCTCATACACTGCTGCAATGTAGCTGTCCAAAGCACAGGCCTTCAGGACAGACAAAGCAAAAATTGTAGCGTAAACATGAGGCTGGGAATAGACCATGTTTGAAGCTTGTTAGTTGCTCAAATGACTGCAAGTCCAGGCAAGTCTAGAGGATTAAATCAGAAAACTGATTTGCCTCACTTTGGAAACCTCCATTACCTATTTAATCAAGAGATTCTGTTACAGGAAGTCCACATTGTGCAACACAGTTACCACATCTAGAAAGTCTTATACCATAAAGGACATCTGAAGAAGTGAGGTTTTTTACCCACGAAAGCTTATGCCCAAATAAATCTGTTAGTCTTTAAGGTGCCACCGGACTCCTTGTTGTTTTTGCCATAAAGGACAAAAGACCTGCAAAAGTAATGCTGTGCCATTTTAGTTACCGTTTAGCTGCCATAGAAGTCACTGTGAAAAAGCTGCAGAAAGACAGCACTGCTGATTTAGAAACACTGCATGTCTATGGCAGAGACGATGGTGTGAATTCAAGGCTAGCCAGCTCAGTAGAAAAACCAAGTAGGGTGAAATCACAGCAGGATCCAGTTACTTACACATGCTGGGCTAAACCCTTCTGCCTTAAATCACACAAATAATTTATTTAACTGCAGTAGAACTGTTTGCACGAGTAAACCAAACAGGATTTCATGGGGGGGTAAACGCTGAACAGCCCATTATGGCATTTTAATAAATAAAACTGATTTTAAAATTAACAGATCCAATCAAACAACCCTGAGAATATTTTAGTAATGAGAACCAGTTAATAGCACACTGTCATTAACCTGTTCTGGTCCAGAGTCATTTTTAAAATGCCCAAGAACAGTCAGTTCCAAAGTTGGACAGCCAGCCAGAATCATACAAATAAGTGAGAATAACGTAGTACGAATGAACAACCCAGCCAAACTGAGCTTTAACTGGCCATTACAGGCAATAAATAGCTTTATTACTAAAACTGCCCAGATGCTCTGTTCTAAAATGGCACAAAGGATGATACATGTAATATAACAGAGAGCAACATACTAGTTATGAAAAAACAGTCCAAACTGACCTTTAGCTGCCTGTTCCAGGCAATAAAAAAAGTTAATTATTAATATAAACAGAATATTCAGTTCCAAAGTAGCACAGAGAATAAAAATATTGCATATAATACAACTAAGTGAGAATAACATAATACTGCTGGAAAAAACCCAACCAAACCAGCCTTTAACTACTCATTCTGGTTCATTATGGATTAAAAATATCTAAAACTGCATATTCCTGAAGTGAAGGGAGAATAAAAATAATGCTTAGGCCTATATAGTGGTCATTACCAACTTTTAATACTATACCAACTTCTGTGCAATAAAACATTATGTTATTACTATTAGCCTATTTGTGTTGTTATTCTTGTTGTCGGTAGCAGATAGAGAGGAGTAGTGGTAGCCTCTTTTACTGCTGGAACCATTTTTGTAGGCAACAGGTTATGTGCTACAATCTAAATTGTTTTGTGGGTTTTTTGTTTTTAATCAAAATAAATTTTCTAACAGGGCAGAGAATTGAACCTGGATCTCCAGAGTGCCAGCCTAGCACCTTCGCACCTTAACCATTGGACCACCCTTCCTCTTTAATTCAGCTGTGTAGTCTAGATGAAATTAGTGGGACTACCTGGGTGAACAAAGTTAACATGATTAAGCTTCTGTTCTGAAGATTTTACAAGGTAAGGCCCTCATCCTGCAGAATGCTTGGATGGTCTATAACACCGCTCTAAGTCTGACTAGTAGATGTGCCTATAAACATGAATTCCTGTTCCACACAAAATTCTGACATTTCAGAAAAATTTTCTTTCTAAAATGGAACAAGTAAAATTCCAGTTTCCTGTTCTAAAAGAAACCTCAAGATGACATTTGTGGGAGAGAGACCTCAATATTGATACAAAATATGATATTAATAAAACTACTATAACTGTGATAGGGGGTCCATCCCACACAGGACTGGAAGGGGTTAAGGTTGACAGGTAGGTCTATTAACTCCATAGGCTGCATCTAGAAGAAGAGCCAGGGAGCAGGGGGGAATTGATTGCAAGCAGGTTCCGCTGTGCAGGAACAGTGGGCCTCTAAAGCCGGGAAGCTGGTAACAGATGAGCTGCTGCTGGGAAATGGCAGTCACTCCCTGGGAAGAGGGTTTGGAACTGGTACATTCAGGGCAAGGAGAAAAACCAGGAGTTGTAGGAAGCAGTCTAGGAAAGAAGCAGTCAGAGCTGTGAGAAGAAAGCCCAGAAATGCTTGGGTTGAGGGTCCCTGGACTGGAACTCAGAGTAGAGGGTGGCCCCAGGTTCCTGTACCTACCACTGGGGAAGTGGCACCATCAGGGCAGTGCTGGAGAAGACTGTCTGGGCCTTTTTGCACCTTTACTGAGTATTAAGATATAGCTACAAAAGTGTTATAGGAAGGATGCTCAGAAATATAATATACATATTTAGCTAATTATATTAAACAATGTTTAAAGCTAATCAGAGAAATTCCAGGTTTCTGCATCTATCAAGGAGATAAACCATGTTAAAGATTGTAGGAATAAGCCTAACTGTGAAAGGAATGCAGGGTTGTGTTAGCAGAGCAATAAATCTAAAGCTAAAATGGGCCTATACATAGCACCCTGCAAATCTGTGGATATCCGCTTTATAGCCGTGGACAATGTTTGCGGATCGGACATGGATATAAATTTTATAGGTAGAGCCCTGCACGGATACACCAACCTCCTTCCCTCCCCCACCACCCAACCCCCCCCCCCTTTTTTTCTTCTTCTTCTTTTCAAAGAAATGACCACAGTTGTGGTCAGCTGGTGCTTGAAATCCTCTTGATATGCGGCAAAAATGCTGTTGGCAGGTCGAGCTCGAGTTTGGCACTGACTCCCCTCACTCCTACTTGCCTTCCAATCCCCTCTGTTCCTCCAGCATTTAGGGAAGGCTACAGTATGGGTGGGATTTATCATTAGAATGCTGCTGGCTGCTCTGATGGGGTGAGGCTGAATGGATGTTCCGGATTATAAACTCAGAGCTTTCTGAGATGGGAATCTTGTATGTACTTTTTATATACTGAAGAAATAAACTCTGCTATAGTTGCAGAGGTAAGTGGCCCAACTTGCACCTGTAGCCTGATCTATGAATTGTATATTAATTATATGGATTACTTAAGAATTCCCAAAAAGCAACAGAGGGTCCTGTGGCACCTTTGAGACTAACAGAAGTACTGGGAGCATAAGCTTTCGTGGGTCAGAACCTCACTTCTTCAGATGCAAGAAGAAGTGAGGTTCCCTCACTTCTTCAGATGCAAGAA